AGTAAAAAAAGTTTATTCTGTAAATAAAAATAATCTCATTACTTTGACAAATTGTAGGTTTTTATCCTAAAAATTTAATACCTTAGGTGGTACATTTTTTTATAGCCATTACAATTTTAAATTTAAGTTAAATAATATTATTTTATTAATCGCTTACAAAATTAGTTTCATTATCAGTGCATGTACATTTTTCTGAGCGTAATATTATTATATTTTAGATGCATAAAGAGGGAAAATGTAAACAAATATAATATCCTTTAGTAAACATTGTAATATTATAAAATAATTTTTTTACCGACTTTTTATTTAATCGAAAACTTCTAAATGTTACGGAACAATATTGTATTGGTATACCTATCTGATAATAACTTTTTATTATAAAAAACCATCAACAGAAAAGTTGATACTGTTAAGTCCGTAGCAGAGCTTGATTAATGAGCCTTACTTGGATTTAATACACCCAAGATAAAAGTTTTTTGCGCCTTCTTAAAAGTTATCCAAGTAGAAATTTGTTATCAAATATAAATTTAAAATTGTAGATACGTACTGTTAAAAAGTTTTTATTTTTTATAATAATGATAAGAAATAACTTACAGAAAAAAATATTGTAAATTTTAAGCTCTTAATTTTAACATTAACATGTGCCCATAACTTTGATAATTTTAAATGTAATTTTTTTTAACCAGTTGCTTTTTCGATAATAATTGATTAAGTATACTTGCAACTGATGCGCAAAATGCTCATGCGCACGTCTTTTAACTTGAAATTTTGAAATATCTCAGTAAGTAGGCATTTTTTCCTAAGGTGCAAAAAAACGAAATAACCTTTAGAAACAACTTAAAATTTATTTATTTAGTTCGAAGATTAATTTGCAACCTGTTTTCGTAGTTAGGTATTGATATTCGATTTTTTAACAGTAGAAGAAAAAATAGAAATGGTTTTGATTTATGAAGAAGCAGGCAGAAATCTTGAAAATGCTGTTAATATCTACGCTCAGCGTATTCTGGAAAAAAATCGATCTCCTGCTTCATTTCAACGTACAGTCGAGCAGTTTTCTACAAGCGGAAATGTTTAACCTAAAAAAGAGTTCGTCGAGCAACAATCACTGGTAAAAATAATGTAATTAATGTATTAACAGCCGTTGCTGGCAATCCTCATGCAAGCACACGAGAATTATCTCGAAATTCTGAAAATCCCAGAACAGTGTTTTTAGAATATTAATACAAAATAAATGCCATCCTTGCCATATTAAGTTACATCAAGCGCAAAATTTTATTTACGGAGAATCAGGCAGAAATCTTGATGATGCTGTTAATATCTACGCTCAGCGTTTTCTTACTAACTCTTTTCTTACTTCGCCGGATTTCTTTTGTGGGGCTAACTTAAAGACCGTGTGTATCAAGTACCAACAACCCGTGAAAATATGACTGAGCAAATTAGAAATGCTTAAGCCAAAATTCCAGCAAATAAGCTACTTACTTGTATAGACTCATTTAATATCTGAATTACTAAGTGCATTGAGCCACCATTTTGAGCACCTTCTTTAATAAAAATTCTTTTGAGCTAAATTTGTATTATTTATAATAACAACCAACAAGTATTTTATAGTAAAATTATTGCAGAATCGTATACAGAAGAAAAATCGAACAAAACTGATTTTTTTTCATTACAGCCTCATCTATTACAAATATGAAAAAATGTGTTGGACAAAATTTCCTATTTTAAGTCGGATGATCCGTGGCACTCCACAGTGGAGTCTTTACCCGAAATGAAGTTAAAAAAAGTCAGAAAAATGTTTATATAAACTTTTTAAATATTGGCGCTAAGAAATTATTTTTAATACTTTTGTATTTTTGTGCTGAGATAATAAAATAATTTTTACATTTAATATTATTTTACAAGGGCACATTATTTTAACGATTGTATGACATTTGAGAACTGTCAACTAACTTCAGTCCGTAACTAAAAACCTGTTGCTAACTTCAGCCCGTTAAACCAGTTAAAAAAATTGTTTGATATAAAATTATGAATTATTCTTGTAATAAAAACACCATTCTTGTAATAAAAACACCAGTTAAATACAAAAAAAGAAAGCCTTAACGGCCATAAAAACAAGTTTAGAAACCTCAAAAATAACATAAAAATACTTTTATTAAATAAAATAAACTTATAAAAATATCTGCAAGTATAGTAAATTTAAAAGGAAAGGACGTACACGTCATCGATGCCGTCATAATTTCGCGCACTGGTACCAATATTAAATGTATAAAAGTCTGTAATTAAGTTGGCAGCAATTGCAATATTGTCATGTTTAGATTAAAATTTTGCTTAATAAAATGACGCATAGAAAAAGAAATTGACGTTTTAGAATTTTGAAGCTGTTAGTTGTGTTTTTGAATATTTCGTGTATAATTTCGTTTATTTTATTTGTTGTTTGTGTTATTTTATATCGTTTAAGTTTTCATTGCCGTTTTTGTGTTTGTTATATATCGTTTTTTGTTTTTCCTATATTTAAAATGCCGAAGCATTTAAACAGCTGTTAGAGAGGTAAATAGGATTATTATTATTTATATATTAGAATATTTAACAAAATATATGTTGGATACATAAAATTATAATATATATACCACAGACTGACTTTAGATGGCAAAATTTCTGGGTTTTATAGCTGGAAATGTGTTTAAAAATGGCTAAAACATACTTTTGGAGGTGCATCAAATAGGTTATAAAACTCTGACTTTTGACATTTTTGTATTCCAAGGTCCCAAATCTAGGGACCCTATGGTATTATTCATGTAAACGCCATATATCGCCCTGTACTGCCGTGCTTAATGAAAACGCCGTAACCAACAATTGTGCGATTTTTGTTTTACGGCATTTTCTACTAGAAAAATTCATCCTGCGTCTATCCCCGGTACTCAAAAAACCGTATCTATATATATACGGGTTTTTGAGTACCGGGGATAGACGCAGGATGAATTGTTCTAGTAGTGCATTATCACTTTCACTTGATGCAATGATTTTAGCATCACATTGATAACCGTGCCCGATTAGCTGATTGGTGTGTACGTCGTTTCCTTTTAAATTTACTATAGTAAGGTATCTCTATTTATTATTATTGTAAGCTGGCTTATGTTAAACTAAGCAGTTGTGTGTAGGTAGCAACGATCATCCTACGACATAAAGGTACTGTGAATATCGATGGTTATTTGACAAAACATCGTAAGCGACAATTTTGTTGAATTACTTTTATTTTATCAAAGTGTCAGTTACGATAAGCTGCACATCTTAACATAATAGTTATTCCAGTTTTGGAATCTAATATTGGTCAGTTTGAATACTTTTATTATTGTAAGCGCCTCTTCTTTTTAATTTGTTACCGATTTATAACGTAAGCGCCTATATGTTCCCGACAAATAATCGTAAGCAACTCTAAGACAGGGCGTTTGCGATTTAACATTGTGTCGCTTACGATAATATTGTGCTCCCGCCTTGATCTATCAAGGCGTTATTCCCGCTCTAAACAGTTTATTCGTGAGTATACCTGCCTCAATGTGGATTGTGATTGCTACTAAGTTTTAAAACAATATTCCTTTTAATCATTGCATTATTAATAGTTATCCTAATTATAATTGTTTTTACGTAGTGTAGTTCGTTAAAAGTATTTTTTTGTAGCAATTGTATGTTGTTATAACGTCCAATAATTTGACTAAAATTTATAACGGTTAGATCATGGTACAATGACGGCCAAAAAATTTCGAACGACCAGTTGATTTCAAAATGTAAAATTGCCTTTAGTGACAACTAACCTTACTTTCTGAAAGTTGTCTGTTTTGACGTATTTCATTGTTAATTTTGTTGTTTTAAGGTTAGATTCTCTGTCTACTTTTTGAAACTGCTTGTCATCTTGTCAAAAATGTCCCTAAATGTTGGTTTGCACAGACATTTTCTTAACTGACAAAAGTTTGATGTTCGAAATTTTTTGTCCGCCTACACAAGGAGTCCAAACATCATGTAAACAAGAATCTTCCTAAGATAAGAGGGCGCTGGTGTTCCGTTTATTCTGAACAATTGTTTAATTTTTACCGAAACGCTAGCATCGACAATCAGCGCCACTGGTGGTGAAAAAAGAAACTTAATTTGTACAATTTAGAGGTTTTGTCAATTAAATTGACTCAATTTCTCCTATTAATTTAGGGCTCCTTGTTAGATACTGGTTTGTGAATAAAAATCGTTCGTTTTTTTCAAAGAAAGCTAATGTAGAATTTCATTTGGCAAAATATCGTTGGTGATTATTTTTTTTGTAATTTTTTTTTATTTAATAATAAAAGTAAAAAAATAAATGTCGCTAACGATGTTTTGACAAAAGTAATCAATAAATCTATATCCCACAAAGTAACGTAAATGTAACTTAAGCGACAAGACTAATTTTACATTTTCCTAAAGATGTTCTCATAAACTATCGTATGCCACAAAATTTAATGAAAATTTTAGATTGGATTCGATCTAACTTAAATATTTGAATTCTACATTAATAAAATAATGGCTCACCAGTTTTCAGATAAATAACTTTAAAATAAAGCTCCCACACAAAAAAAATCTCTCCTGTAAAATTTAAGTTTTGTCGCTTACGATGTTTTGTCAAATAACCATCGATATAAGCCCTATAACCCAATGCACAAAAAAGTACAAAGAGTTTTAAACGTAACAGAGTCCCAGGGACTCTACATCGTCGGATAATGGTTAAAATTAAAAGTTTATGTCATTACCTAAAACTTAAAATTTGCTTAACCAAAAGAAACGAAATTAAGAATTTTTTCCACTGCTTTTTTTGCACAGTGTAACTTGAGAAGTGAGTGTGTAATACGATTAGGAATCCTTTTTGTCAAGGGGAACTTGATAAACATAAGAAGTTCGAAAAGGTTTTCTCCTGTCCCTTAGTGCGGCGCTGCGCAATGGCGTGCGCGTTTCCCGGTGAACGCCTAGTTCGCCAGTAATATAGGACACGGGCGATATCCTGGTTGCCTCGCACATGTCTCTCAGCTCGACGCGCTCGGAAAATTCCTTACATAACGTAAATAAAAAAGTGACAGAGCAACTCGCCGAAAAATCAAAAAAATAAAAATTTAACGGAAAGTGTGCTGCGATGTTTCACCTGCCGTGTCACTTAAAATTATTGCCTTGTGTTGTTGTTGTTTGAATTATTTATGTTATGGTGAGTGGTATTTTTAGATTTGATGAACTATTTTTATTACTATTGTTTGGGTCACTTGGCCGAATTGAAATTTTACGTGGCATTTAAAATTTAAAAGGCATTCCTTTACGGTCGCAGTATATCAGCAGTAAGCGCAGCAGGAATAGGTTAGTGGGCTAGTCGGACGATGTCTTCATTTCCTTCATGCTTCTATTCTATTACGCTTTGTTAACTGGTTAATATTAAAACAGCTGACTATTTCGTATTCCGAAAACCTCTGCATTGTTTTAAAAAGCTCTCAGGCACATCCATTCACCTTAATGGAATAAATTTAAGGATTATAAATAAATAATTAAACGAATTTTACTGAATTAAATATAATTAATGTTCACCAAATTATTTAACAGTCTACCAAATTTTTCAAAAGTCTACCAAATTTATGGTCTTAATTTTGGTGACAAAAGTATTCTTTGTATGAATAAATTTAGTAGACCACCCAAATTTTACCTATAAACAAATTCATTGAAATTTTTTTTTTTTAATTGTATGACATTTTTAATTTAAATATTACATTTACAATTATATTTAACTTTTAATAATTATTAATTTATAAACTAAAGTATACTTCATAAAAAGGTATATCGTATACAGTGGCGTGCACAACAGTGCCCGCAGGGCCAGCGGTGCGGGAGGCCGACCTTAAGGGGGCCCCCTAAAGACCCACATCATAACCTAGTAAACATTTTTTGCCTATTTACGTGGACTAAAAATTTAAAAATTACTATTTATAAATAATATAACCCTTATAGTCCAAGTTTTGACGTTTTCCCTTCAACACAATTACTCTCGTAAAATGAAATAGTCAAAATTCTACCATTTGAATTAGTACCAGCATTTTTTACTTATAAAATAGTCGTTTTCACTTTTAAATTTAATAGTTATTTTTTACTACGTAAATAGTTTGACTAATTTAAGATTAGTCACCATCTTTGACTATTTCTGAGAGTTAAGAGTAACCAATTTATTTAATCGTTTGCGGCCAACAACAAAGTATTATTTGAATTAAATGCATATAGGCTCCATGGTTAAATAGCCCATAAAAACAAACAAAGATGCAAAAAGTTTAGCTCAAAACACAAACACAAATAATATATTTATCTTTAAAATATTATGAACAATATTTATTGACAAATAAAATTGATTTTTATAAAAGCGACTGATAGCCACATTGGTTATGACAACAGCTTGATAAGCTTGACAAGTGACAGACTTGAGTTCAATCCCCGGCTGGGTCAAAACTTTTTTAAATTTAAATTACTAATTTGACTATTTCATTCAGTAGAATTTGACTAATTATAAGTGACTGCTTTTTCGCTATGACAATTAGTCAAATATGACTTATAATTAGAGATGTAAACAAACGGTTTTTTGTTTTTTTTTTTAACCGGTAAAAAACCGGTACAATAATTCATTTAAACCAAATAAATTAAATCAAAAAGCGGCGTACAGAAGGCCAAGGCTCCCGTCTGTAGGGGCTTTTGTAGAGAAACACATCTAAATCCAGTAAAAATTAGAAAATAGTTAAGTTTTAAAAAAAATCTATCAATTTAAATAAATGCTTAACAAAAATAAGGCTATTAATTTTGGGTGGTAAAAAACAGGGTGGCCCAACAAAATTTTCGGGGGGCTTCCAACCATCTTAACACGCCACTGACCGTATATTTATTTTATTGGTTTTAAACACATGCTTTTATTATTTTTCCTCACTTACCTTTAAAGGTTTTTTAATTAAAACGCTTGACTTTATGGCGTTTTAGGTACGGGCTGAAGTTAGCAAAGTGGCTTTCGGGCTTTTTAGTCAGGGGCTGAATTGTGAAAAAGTGAGGTTAAATCTGTCACAGTTGTCACATGTCAAATGTGTATCAAATAAAATTGGCTTTAGATTTTTCCTTGTGTTTGTCGTAAATAAAGTGTAGCATGCAACTCGTTTTATAAAGTTCCCTAGACAACATGTTTTCATTATATTATATTTACAAGCCTTGCTTGTGCCTAATTAAAATCTTGACTAAAATGGCGGTTATAAAACTTAAACATAATATACTACTTCCTTCTTTATAGATATTCGGCTTACACGTGATATAAATTTTTAACATTTCATACTTATTTAAAACAGAAAAAAACAAACACATTTCATGACTAATAGGCAAATATTTATTGTGTGCATGACTGGGTATGTTAACATTAATATACGCCGTGCTTTGAGTTAAAATAGTAAAAATAGGTATTTTTAGTCAAAATATCAAATTATTTTATTTACTCTATTAAAAAGAATTTATTTAACTACAGAATATAAATTACCATCAATAATTAATAAAGTGTAAAAACATTTTTTTATCTATTTTGTGTTCATATTGACTTCATTATAAAACCGCTTTCGGTGCTGTAATGAGATAATTTATCCCACCCAAAATTTTGATTTTATAGGTTGGCTATACTTTAAACAGCATAATATTTTACATATTGGTTATAATATATTTATTGGTATGGTATGGCAAATCGATTTTGACATTAACTGTAAACCAATGACTGTTATACCAACTATCTAAACTAAAATTCGACCAAATTAAATTTAAGGTATAAAATGAATTTTTTTTATGGAATTTTTGCAAAATAGATAAAATAGCATAAAGAACTCATGTCATAATACCTTTTGTCGCACTCGTCCATTACAAAACCCGCTCCTTCGTCGCTCGTTTTATAAATTGTCCGCGTGCGACAAAATGAAGTCTTATGACATTAGTTCTTTTTAAAATATACTATTATAGTAAGTACTATTAATTTCAATTTTAAAACAAGACATTTTATTATTAAATCAAAAAATATATTGCAGTTTTTATAGAAAAGCAAAATTTTCTTTGGATCTTGTATAACATGTACAGGATGTTCAAATGAAATGTAATAAAAAAAATTTTATTTAAACTTTTTTGAGAACGTCTCAAAAATTCTATAGATTTTTGATATTATAATTTTGAAATGTTACAGGAATAGTAATGTACATAATAGTATTACATGAAAATATTGCCAAAAATGTAACTCAGATACGCTTTAGAAAACGAACTAGTTTATTTTATTAGTCTGAAAATTTATTTTGCATACATAAAATCTGTCAAATCAATGTTTTAAAAATGTTGTATCACAGTTTGTTGGGTAAGTAATCATAATTTTATGATTTTACGAACTACAAAATATCCAATAGCATATGTTGTGATGTATTTGTAAAAAAAATCATGTGAAAGTAGCAGATTTGGACATGGGGCACATTTGGACTTTTCAAATTTACCGGGTAAATAACCAACGAAAAATGCGCCATCTCGTCATTGGGCAAGGCCTGCCATAACTAAAGGTTGGCGGGAAGCAGATGCATCCAGGACAGTTTTTGTAAATTTTAAAAGGTGTTTGTGAGATTTCGTAGTTCAAAGTAAGTTTTTGATCGTATATTTGTAAGCCTTTGCAAAACTAATCTATGCATGAATGTAAATAATGTCTATATAGGGTAAAAGAACGTTTAGTTGCCTATACATAACCTCACTTTAATTTAGAATAGTAAGCTCTATATTTGTCTTTGTCCTGCTTTAATAGAAAAGACTACAAGTGGGGCAGTTTTGGACATTTTAACTGGGGCAGTTTTGGACAAGTCCCAATCTGCCCCAATTTACCATAACTGTTCGCGGTAGTTTGTTCACAATGTAATTGGCGTTTATTTATTCTAGAATGGTTCGAACTTACAAACGCAAGACCGATAGACATCTGATAGATCCTAACGATATAAAAAAAGCTGTTCGCCTCGTTCTTGCACATAAAATGAAAATTAGAGCCGCGGCAAGGGAATTTAATTTAAAGAAATCAACATTGTTTTTCCACGTCCAAAAAGCTACAAAGGAAATCGGTCAAATTGCTGAAGAGTCCGGTATTGAAGAATCAAGTGAAGATGAGAATGCTGGAAGCAAATCAAAACATGCTTCGCGTCAAGTGTTTTCTTTTGCTGAAGAAACACGTCTTGAGAGCTACCTGCGCCATGCTTCGGCAATGAACTTTGGCCTAACATATCGAAATGCGAGATCTTTGGCCTATCAGTATGCGGTATTGCTAAAGAAAACTATCCCACCCAATTGGCATGATCATCAATCAGCAGGGGTTGAATGGATGCGCGGATTTGTAAAGAGGCACACTAGACTGTCATATAGAAAACCTGAAAATATTAGTATTGGACGAATATCTGGTTTTACTAAAAATAATGTCGAAGTATTTTTTGAGAATCTTGAGAATGTCTTAAAAAAACATAAGTTTACTCCAGATCGCATTGTAAATACCGACGAATCAGCTATACCCACCGTTATTCAAGCTCCAAAAGTTATTTCCGAGAAGGGAAAGAAGCAAGTTTCACAATGTGTTTCTTCGGAACGGGGAACACTGGTAACATTTTGTGGTATTATAACTGCAACTGGTGGGACAATACCACCTGTTTACATTTTTCCACGGGTTAGAATGAAAGATCACTTTATGCACGGGGTAGTCACTGGGGCCATTGGCTACGCATCAAAAACTGGATGGATGACCGCGGAAATATTTGTTAACGTTTTGAAACACATTCAGAAACATACAAACTGCTCGCTTGAGAATAAAATTCTATTGCTGCTCGATAATCACGAGACACATATTTCGCTAGATGCGATCAACTTTTGTCGGGAACATGGTATTATTATGTTATCATTTCCCCCACACTCAACCCATAAGATGCAGCCCCTTGACGTAGGAGTTTATGGTCCCTTTAAGGCTCGACTGAAGACTTCGTTCAATGATTACATATTATGTAATCCCGGAAAGCCTATCTCAATTTATGAAGTCGCCAAATTAAGCAGGGAGCCATACCTCTTATCGTTTACCCCTTCTAATATTATAAAATCATTCCAAACACCGGGTATTTGGCCCATGAATCGTTTGGTTTTCAACGATGGAGATTT